TCTATCTATCTATCTATCTATCTATCTATCTATCTATCTATCTATCGTCTATCTATCATCTATCTATCTATCTATCTATCTATCTATCTATCTATCTGAATAGGTTTATATAGTGAGAAGGAATATAACAGCTAATTAGTCCACACAGCAGTACAGAGGGCTCAGTTCAACTCACTTCTGTGAAACAGTTAATATACTGGAGGTCCTTCAACTCAAGCTGGCTGCTGGTCCAAGGTCGAGGAAGCAGACAGCAGAGTCTGCCCCCGGGCATGACCAGCAGTGTGGAACAGCAGCAGCAGGAGGATATGAAGTTGAGGCGGTGCAAAAGCCAGCAGCACAGGAGCCTAGCGAAGCAGTCAGAGGGAGCCTCAAGCTCTAGCGATGCACATGCATGACAAGGTGTCAAGATCCACCAGTTGGCTCGGCCCACAGTGGCGCAGCACACGGTTGAGGCAAAGGACCACCTCAGGCAGCAGAGCACCGGTCAGATCACCAGGGAGGATGAGGGAAGGGGGCTGGCTGTGGAAAGGTATTTATCTCATAGCCCCCCCAACCAAGCTTCAACCTGATTAAACTGCCCACATGTTCTTCTGGAAGCCTAGTTGGCACAATAAACGTAATTATCAAAGAGAGTGTTGGCGATAGCAGAATTAAGTGTCCACACACTTAGACCATCCTGCTCTTTTTAGATGTTTCCAAGTAATTGCAAGGTATCGAACTGCCTACTCATCATGGAAAGGGCTCTGGTGCTGCAGTGATTAAAGCACTTAGCTTCTAGCAAAGACGGGTGATTTGAACCCACCAGCTTCTTCCACTCGAGAAAGATGTGGCAGTCTGCTCTGGGATGATTGACAGCTTTGGAAACGCTAAGGGGGCAGTTCTCCGCCCCCCTCCAGACTCACTATGAGGCAGAGCCACCTGGGCATCGGTGAGTTTGGCTTCATCATCGTGGACTGAAACATTAACAACTAGATCTGGAACTCTTAGACCCTCTGGGCCTTGGAAGAACTGAGGAGCATGTGTGGGGACATAGGGAAGAAAGTGAATGTGTTAGCCATAGAGCCGAAGGTGATGGCACCACCCAGGCAATTTGCAACAAGTTCAGCGATGCACCGAGGGGCCATCTCTGACATAAGGCAGCTGACTCTTCACGACTTTATGGAAAACAGTCCTCAGCTTTTTAACAGCACAGAATGGCCGCAGGCAAGTAAAGTGGGACAAATCTAGATGCCATGGTAACCAAGGTTCCTTTCTAGACTCATGCTGTCTAAGAGTTTTTCCATGACAGAGAGGAAGAAACAGCTGCTTTGAATGACTGTGGTAGGTTTGTTGTTTTCTTCTTTATACTCCTGTGTGTGTGTGAGCTAGACAAAGGAAGCATACAGCCTCTATTTACAGTTTTCAGTAAGCAGAAGGCCAGCGCCAGCATGTAGCCATCATCAATGTCGGGAACAGAAAGGTGCTGCCTCCTAAAAGACCCTTGCTTAAAAGATGCGCTTCTGTGCGGCTTTGGAATGATGCACTAATCCTCGCATCGCTGTAGTCTTGATTGTGTCAAGCAAACAATTGAAAAGGCACAGACGCATCAGGACAGTGTGTTTATTTTATCATCAAACTTGTACTTACTGTTGTCGTCAGAGGATCTACCAAAAAGCTGCCTTAGCGATCCATGTTCTATGCTAATACGGGAACCGCACTGCAGGGTCAACCAGGACAGCTGGGCTCCCATGTACCGCATGATGCCAGGATGTGAATGTCTCATTTTCAACGGTGGCATCATTATACTTTAAAACTCTAATTTAAAGATATAAGGTGGGGCGTTGTTTACTTCCGGAAGCGGGCTTCCCAAGATCTTATAAAATAGCTCCTTCCTGCCCTCTCATTCAACACAAGAACTTCTGAGATCTGGCCAGTCTCATCCTCCCCACTTCCCAGTGCCTTCCTTCCCAATCTACTTTCTTCGCATAGTCCACTCGCCAAACACTGTCAGTTCTGATGTTGCTGTACTTCCCCCACCTCTGGGCTGACAGCCACTGGCCCAGGCCAGGGGGCCCCGTGGGGATCTTGGCCAAAGTTTAGCACTGAGCAGAGAGGCGCCTCTGTTGTGCAGTGCTTTCTTCTTGGATTATAAAACCTCACTCCCCTCGGGGAAGTCTGACTTTCTGTAAGGCTTTATTCACATCTCCTTCTCTTTATTGTCTTTAGATCGTCACCACCCCAACACTTCCCAAAGCTTTCCCTAAATTTTCCTGTCTCTCTCTGTCTTTCTGTCTCTCAGTGATGATTACAGTGTTTTATGTAAGAATGGTGTCTCTTTCCACCACACCTAGTAGCCTCAGTCCATGGTCACGGAATGGACTTGCAGAATTCAGTGGGGTTCACCCCCGAACTGACAATATTCAGAGCGCTAGGAAAGGAGGAGGAGCAACGGAAGTAGGAAACACAGGCAGGAAGTGGGAGGAGCAATGACACAATGAGGGGATTGTGATGGGTATGTCCAGATGTGTAGGACTCTTAATAGGATTGAACAACTAAATGGTATGAGGTGTGAAGTCTATACCAGTAAAACTACTTTTTAAAGTGTACGAACCTGTTATTGAATGTAAAACTCTGATATGCTCTGTAAACCTCTACCCAACTCATGATAAACAGTTGTCTAAAGCCACAAGGAGATACCATTAAAACAAAACAAACAAAAACAATTGTACTGCATTTTTCTAGGTAGCATCTCAGGCAAACCGTGATAAAATTCATCATAAAAGTAAATATGTGCTGAATGTTTTGAAGCTCCACTTTTGAAAAATGGATGTTTCCCACTCTTACGATAGAGAATACAGTTGATAATGTATGGTCACTACAAGGAGCCCTGGTGGGGCTGTGCTCACCAAAAGGGTGAGTTGACCCCATCCCACAGCAACCAGGAGCATGCACTGGCCACCTGCTTCCCTCAGGATTATAGCAGGGAAAGCCCAAAGCCCAGGGGGCAGCTTGGCTCCGTCCTCTGGTGTGGTGGCATGAGTGTGACCAGAAAAACAATGGGGTCATTTTAAAAAGAGCTCTGAATGGCGGGCCACAAGATGAGCTTTATGAACCTTTGCTTGGTGTCCCTGTCCGTTGTCTGCAGACAGTTCAGCTTTCACCAGGACAATACGAGCTGCTTCCCGCACTGGTTCCCAAGTACTCTTCCAGGTAAGCGTATCCTGGTGGATGAGGTAACTTTGAATAGTTTCCTCACGCCTTGCTCTGTGCAGGCACTTCAGCCTCATGTCTGGGCAGCCAGATTAGCACTTCTGAATGTTTCATGAACGAAAGGAAATCTTGTTAACAGAACCCTCACTCTAAAAATAGATGAAGAAAATCATACCCCTTTCCTTTCTCTTTCTCTCTTAATTTAGGGGTTTCGTATTTCGCTCTGCAGTTTCAAGATTCCCAACAGGCTGTTTCATTCCTGTAAGTATGTTGTAGATCATGGATTCATGACGCATTTGAGGTTTAAGATGTGTGCTGGTTCTTTTTGATACATCAAGATGACCACGGTGTAGTGGTTAAGCGTTGGGCTGCCATCTGCAATGGTGGGCAGTTCAAAACCACCAGCAACTCTGCGGCAGAAAGACTGGACTTTCTACTCCCATGAATGGTTACCGTCTCAGAAACCCACAGGGGTCACCGAGAGTCAGCATTGCCTGGGTGATTTGGTTTTTGGAGAAAACAATGAATGATGCTCTTGATGGAAAGTGGACCTGAAGACAGGGGACGTCAGTGTAAATAACCCAGATATGGCCAGTTGAAGATGAGATTGCCTTAACTCCTCCTTTCTTTCCAAATTTCATCTTCTTGGTGAGATCTTCTCTAGCCACCTGTTTAAAATCTCCCATCCTCCTCCCCCCCTATTTTTAAAAAAACCGTGTCCATCAAATTCTTGTGTCTGCTGCACTGTATTTAAAATTTTAAACTTTTACACGTCATGTTTGTGTCTGCCTGTCCCCCCCACTAGAAAGTGTAATGACGGAAGGCGGGGTTTTTTGCTTTTCCCTATAAACTTAGCCAAGTGACTGGTGCATCGTAGCCGTCAAATCGAAGGATAAAAGCATCAGAGATATTGAGTCAATGTTATATTAGCAAGAAAAGGAAGAGAATCTTGAATACCCTTTCCTTAGTTACTGATTTATAACTTTGATTGTAGACTGGGCAGGGGCAGTTTCTTTCCTTTGGAAAACATGAAACTGTTTTCCTATTTTTGTTTTATTTTTAAAAAATCGTTTTATTGGGGGCTCATACAACTCTTATCACAATCCATCCATCCATTGTGTCAAGCACATTTGTACATTTGTTGCCACCATCATTTCAGATTCTCCCTCTTTCCAGAGTTATTTTGTTGTTGTTGTTTAATGAATGGTGAGTTTTTAAAAACTTTCTTCTTTCTACTCTGTGGCCACCAGAGTCTTCTTGCTTAGCTTATGATTTAATGACTGAACAGAAATTTTCTTAAAGTCCTTGTGTTAAGCCAGATTGACTAGAGAGACAACTCCAGGGACACTCATATACGTGTAAAAGAGATCTTTATATCAAGAAGTAGTTATATATATCTGGAAAACATCCCAGCCCAGTTCAGATCAAGTCCATAAGTCCGATACTAGTCTATGAATCCCTCTTCAGACTCACAGAGCCACAAGCAATGATGCAAATTGCAGGGAGGTTACAGGCCGGTGGGTGGAAAGTCTTGTGGATCCAATGGTGGTGGAAGCATCACAGGGCGTGCGCAGGTCTCAGCATGGTTCATGGCATGAAGGGAAGGGACAGGGAGAGGCCCATCATTTATCTCAGTATCACTTCCCAATAAGGCCATCAAGCTGAGACTTGATTGACAGGGTAAACACTACCATATCTTCTTATGGGTGCCAGGTCGGCACAATCAAATATTAGTATTCTTAAGCTAACAAGTTACCTCAAGCCAGAGAGGATAAAACAACAGCAACTTATTCTTCCCCGATTTGGAAGGTTAACTCTCTCGCTCTGTGTGTACTTGGCCCTCCTGAAAGGACCCATGTCATTGGATTTAGGGCTTGCCTTACCTTCATGACATCTTCTTGACTAATTACATCTGCAGAGGGCCTGTTTTCATATAAGGTCACATTCACACACACCAGGGCTCAGAACCTCAATCTATCTTTTTTTCCAGTTCTTTCTTTTTTAAAATAATCA